TATAGAAATGCAACTGGTGTTTGCTCCTTGATTTTTGTATCCTGCTACTTTGCTGAATTTATTAATCTTAAAATTTTTGTATGGATCTTTTGGATTACAAATAAGATCATCTACAAACAAAGAGTATTTTACTTTTCCTTTCCAATGTGAATGCTTTTTATTTCTTTTCCTGCCTAATTGCTCTAGCTGAAACTTATAGTACTGTATGGAGTAGATTGGTAAAAGCTGTCATCCTTACCTTCTTCCTAATCTTAGAGGAAAAGCTTTATCTTTTATCATTGAGCATAATGTTCACTGTGTGCTTTTTTCATATATAGTTTCAGATATGTTGAGTTAGTTTTCTTCTATTTCTAGTTTATTAAATACTAGAAATAGTATTATGAAAATGTATTGAATTTTGTCAAATACTTTTGAGATAACTGTGTGTGTGTTTTCTTCATTTTGTTAGTATGATGTATAATATTGATAAGTTTTCATATGTTGAACCATCCTTGCATTTCAGGAATATATCCCACTTGGTTGTGGTGTATATAACCTTATTAATATGCTGTTGAAAATAGTTTGTTAGTCTTTCTTGCAGATTTTTGCATCAATGTTCATAAGGGATCTGTAGTATTCTTGTAATGCCTTTGTCTGACTTTGGTATCAGGACAGTGTCAACCTCATAGCATGAGTTTGAAAGTGCTCTTTTCTCTTTAGTTTTCTGGAAATATTTGAGGAGGATTGTGTTAGTTCTCTAAATGTTTGGTAGAACATTTGAAGTGAAACCATCTGGTCCAGGGATTTTCTTTGTCAGGAGATTTTTTATTACTATTTAACCTCCTTACTTATTGTAGTTCTGTGCAGTCATTCTCTTCATGATTCTGTCTTGATAGGTTTTGTGTTTCTAGGAAACTGTCCATTTCATGTAGTTGTCTTAATTTCTTTGTGGACTATTATTTACAGTATTTTCTTGTAATCTTTTGATTTCTGTAGAATCAGTAGTCATGTCCACACATTGATTTCTGATTTTAGTAATTTGAGTACTCTCTTTTTTTTCTTAGTCAACTTAGCTAAAGTTTTGTCAGTTTTGGTTTTGTTTTTTGTTTTTTTTTCCCAAAGAATGAACTTTTGGTTTCATTGATTTGTCTCTTTTTTATGTTCATTTATTTCTGCTGTAATATTTATTATTTCCTTCACTCAGCTAGCTTTGGGCTTAGTTTATTCTTTTTCTAGTTCCTTAAGATGTAAAATTATGTTGTTGACATGGGATCTTTTTTAATATAAGCATTTACATTTGTAAATATCCCTCTTTGTACTGCTTTTGGTACCTATCATAAGTTTTGGAATGCTGTGTTTTCATTTGTTTCATCTGTGATTTCTTATTTGACCCATTTGTGGTTTAAAAGTGTGTTCAATTTCTACAGATTTGAGATTGTGGGTTTTTTGTTTTCTTTTTCTTACTGACTTCTAACTTTGTTCATTGTGGCCAGCAAAGATACTTTGTATGATATTTATCTTTTAAAATCTGTCGAGGCTCTGGCCTGGTACCTAAGTTAGTTAGAGCATTGTCCCAATAATGCCAAGGTTGCAGGTTCAGTCCCAAGGTTGCAGGTTCATTTGTTTATTTATACAATAAACCAATAAATGCATAAATAAGTGGAACAGCAAATCAGTGTTTCTTCCTCTTTCTCCCTCTCTCTCTAATAAATAGATGGAAGAAAGAGAGAGAGAGAGAGAGAGAGAGAGAGAAGGAGGGAGGGAGGGAGGGAGGAAGGAAGGAAGGAAGGAAGGAAGGAAGGAAGGAAGGAAGGAAGGAAGGAAATCAGTTGAGATTTGATTTGTGTCCTAACATATAGTCTATCCTTGAGAATGTCCTGTGAGCACTTGAAAAGAATGTGTATTCTCTTATTGGGTAGAACATTCTGTGTGTCTGTTAGATCAGTTGGCTTATCGTGTTCTTCAAGTCTTTTTATTTCCTTATTTTCTTTCTGGTTCTTTCCATTATTAAGAGTGGGGTATTGAAATCTCCAAATGTTATTGTAAAACTGTTTCTCCCTTCAGTTCTGTCAATTTTTGCTTTATATATTTTGATGTCATGTTATTAGATGCATAAATGTTTGTAATTATGTTTTTGCTGTATCGATCTTTTGTTAATATATAATGTCCTTCTTTGTCTCCTATAACCTTTTTTGATTTAAAGTCTATTTCACTTGATATTAGTGTAACTACCCCTCTGCTCTTGGCTACTGTTTGCATGGGATATCTTTTTCTACCTTTTTACTTTCAACGTATTGTGTCTTTGGCTCTAAAGTGAGTCTTTTTGTACACGGCATATAGTTGAATCACATTTTTTCTATCCATTCTACCAATCTCTGACCTTTGGTTGTAGAGTTTTAACCCATTTATAGTAAAAATAACTACTGATAAAGGAGAGAGACCTCTTATAATTTTGGTATTTGTTTTCTGTATGCCTTAAAGCTTTTATTGTCCCTCATTTTCTGTCAGTTTTGTTGATTTTTTTTTTCAAAGAATCAATGTCTGGTTTCATTGATTTTTTTCTTTATTTTTCTGTTTTGTTTATTTCCACTCTGTCCTATTTTGTGTTTGTTTCTTTTCGTACTGAAATATTTTAATTGTGTTCTCATTTCCTTCTGTGTCTATTCTATAGCTGTTTTCATTGTGGTCACTGTGGGGATTGATTTTGACATTTTAAAGTTAGTCTAATTTGAATTCTTACCGTTTCATGAGCATGCTTCCAGTCCCCAGCTTTTTCATTTGTAAAGTCCCTGTTCTACCTGCCTCAAAGGGGTTCTGTAAGGCTCAAAATGACTGTCATTGTAAAAGCTCCTTGTGGACTATTAAACATGTGCACATCGTTAACTCTTGTTATCCTTTCCTATTTAGTAACTGCTTTTTAAGTGAGCTTTCATAGAAATGGAACTATCTTGTGTTCTAGATAATTTTTTCTTTTTAAAAACTCTTTGATTCCACAAGTATGTGTTAGGACCCTGCTTTATTCACTACATTATGCCAGGGCATGTGGGTAAAGCAAAAACTCATCCTGCCCTAAAGTAGCATAAAATACAGCTGGGGGACAGGACTAGTACACAGGGGAACATATAGTAACCCAAGCGTGACCAGCATGTGATGGCTGGGCCATGGGCCCATTGGAGCAGGAGGAAAGGGAGAGACTTCTTGAGGGAAGTGCAACCAAACAGGGCTGGGCTTGGCCAGATAGGGGTCAGCTGCATAGGAGGGAAGAAGGAGCAAACACAGGAAGGAACAAGATGAACAACTCAGGTAGGAATAGGAGAGGGCTGTTTAGGGGACACATTTTCTGAACAAGGAGCTACAGAAGCCACCTTGGAAGTATTACTGCTCTTCATTTTACAGGTGAGGAAGTTGAGGTTCAGAAAATGTTTTGCCTGAGGTCACATAACTACATAACCAGTTAGTGTGGAGTTGGTTCTAGAACTTGCTGATCCTCAGGCCAATGTTTTGTCTTTTGTGCTAGGGTTTCCCTTGACCCTGGTTGACCCTGGAGGTATCACACTGAGCTTCAGAGCATTCAGACCCTTGTGTAAAATGATGGCACTTTCATCATAGCACTGACATAATATGAAAAGTTTTAGGATTTTGAAAGGCAGCGAATGTACATTAACATGACACAGTCCACTACAGATGAAAAGGGTAAGACAGCACTGCAGGTACGGTAGGGAGACATCAGAGATAGACTGTTGAATAAAAGTAGCAAGCTCCAGGATGCTCACTGCCAACTCCCTTTGTGAAAAACCCACAACATGTCTACATTTTAGTCTTTGCACTCATATATGACATAGCACCAGGGGTATGGGGAGCAGAGAGACTTTACCTCTCTTAGGAGCTCTGTTCAGTTGCTCTTCCTGTTCCCACTGGTCATCAGCAGGCCCTTTTTTGTGCACCTCGCACACCACCCTGAGCACCTCTTCATGGGCACCTATAGATCAGCTCCTCCTCCCCTGGGCTGCCTGATAATTGTCTCAGCTACATAGCCTATTGGAGCCAGGCAGGTAAAAAGGCTATGGATAGTAAATATTTTATAATTCCCTTAATCTTACAAGTTGTGTGTCAAATAGATTTTTATGGGCATTCTGCTTCTGCAAAGCTGTTTATTCTTAATATGATTTGGAAGATCATCAACATAACATTACCTTAGTGGCATTCCACAAATATTTGAAAACCCACTGTGTTGCATGCTCTTTTTCTTATCTTGAGGACTCAAGGGGACTTAAGTTAAAAGCAGATGAGGTCTCAGCCAGGAAAGCCCTTTCATTGTAAAGCTCTGCTCCCATGGGAGGGGCTGCAGTTGAGTGACACAGTATCTCGGAGGTCTAATCTTGCCAGAAAGAGCGAGGAGCACTGCTACCTATAGCACGAAGTCGCAGCAGGGGTAAAAGTACCACGAGAGTGGATGGAAGGAATGATTGCATCCAAATGAGCAGATGAGAGACAGCTACCTGAGGGTGGCCTTGAAGATAGATCTCAGATGTCACAGTGCTTTGGTTGGTTTCAGTAGGCAGAAATGGGGATGGAAACCAAAGGTGTGTCAGGTGGAAGGAACAGCTTCAGCAAAGGTGTGAAAGGTAGAAAACTTGACCTGTAACCTTGGCTTAACTGCTTTATGCCTGTGGAGCATGGGCTGCACCCTGCTTTTCCCACTAAGCTTGGATGGAGCCATTGGCTGCAGTGCCCTGAAATGTGTAGATCTGCTCCTCATGTACCTTTCTCCAAGGAGTCCTTACTTTTGTAATGATGCTGTGCGTTGCTGTCTCTTCTAGACTCTGTCTTCCTTCCTATCTCTGTAGCTCTGGTGGATATGGATATGTCAGATGAGTAGTAGACACTCTGTAAATGTTTATATAATGAATCTCAATTAAGGGACATACTGTTTTCTTATTGGCACTTGGGGGTTTTTTCCCCATTTTCTACTTCCTGATTGCTTTTCCTCCTGCTAATCCAGTTATATCTTCTCTTTGCAGATGAAGCTACTAAACTTATATATAAAGAGGGCCCAGACCACGAACAGCAACAGCAGCTCCTCCTCCGATGTCTCCACACACAGCTAGTGGCAACGCCAGAGTCCCTGTAGCCGTAGAACAATCGGTGGTGCCTCTCAGAGACCTTTCCCCACCCTCCCCTTCCTAGGCTGCCTGGGCGGGACAAAGAGGCCCGCAAATATTTATTACAATCAGTATTTTGGTCCCTTCCACCTTTTGTGTATAATCTTACTGGTATTGAATGTAAAGGAAGCAAGGCCTATTGTGCAGTCTTCAACAAAACAAAAGGAATAAGAAATGAAGAGCCATACATGTCTTCTACAGCCTAGTGAGATCATAAAACCATGAGTGTGGGTGCAGTTTTTAAAAGTCAGAGAGCCCTCTGGCCAATGCTTAATTGGAAGTACTGCTTTCTCTTCAGTGAACAGAGTTGAGAGTGTGTTGATTCATGTTTCTCTGTCATCTTAGCCTGCTTGGTTCTGGAATATAGCCTGTGTGGGGCAGGTGACCCCCCCCCCCCCACACTCAATCATAGCTTGACACCATGAAAGGGTTGGTTGTATGTCTTTAAATTGTATTTCAAGACCTACTAGGAATATGAATCACATCTTGGCAAGAAATGGAGAAAAGCCTGAAAATGGCCTTTTAACAAACCTGGAATTTTGTTTATACTGTCAAGACTAAAAGCTGGCTGCCCTCACTTTAGTTTATTAAAAGGGCATCCCCACCGTCTGCTTCCAGGTCAGGCTCCCAGCCCCTCTGAACGGTTCTGGGACATTGTCCTCACCACAGAGCTCCTACCCAAAAGACTTCTTCAAGTTTATATCCAAACACAAAAATCACAGGATACTAGTAGCATCAGTTAGTGGATACCTCAAATTGCATTTCATGAAGCATAGAAGATATGAGAAGTAGTTCATTTTACTACCAAGGTCTTAGGGAAACATGGTTTTACAGGGCTCCTCTCACGACTCTGGATCCTGGTCTTTCTGACTTGGCTTCTTTCCTCTCTCCATCCTTTGCCTATTAAGCTGCTCAATTCTAAAATGTTTTCATTTAATCTGGTAAATGGCAACTATAAAACCATCTCAGTTTTCACTTCTGTATTTCATTTGGGACTAAGGTCAGAGAAAAGTCTAGAGAGACCAGGTATCAGCATTTTTTTTTTAATGTCCTGAAATACTTCCTTGATCATCTGTTGAAATAATCATTGTTTAAGGAAATAATAGTTATGGTGAGTGACAAATTGCTGAAAAACAGGCTCTGAAATTCAAAATTAGGGTTTCCTTTTCTTCAGTAATTACCCATTTTTAAAAGTTTTGTGAGGGTATATTGCTTCAAATTATTAAAGTCTGGTTAAATAAGTCTGGAGTAAAAATCTTAAAGCCAAATGGAAATTCCTGTTGCAATCATGAAGATTTGTGTCTTTTGCTATTCTATTTCAGAACCTCTAAATTGAACTGATTTTTACATAAAGAAAATGCCTGTTCTGGTATTGATTTTTGATCAATCATTTGCTATTTCAGTGCAGACAGAGTCCCTTCATCTGCCAGGAGTGAGAAGCAGAGATTTTTATGGTTCTCACCTCTGACCTCCACAGGCACCCCTCCCTCTTCTCTTCTCTGACCCTCCATAGGTGATATGGGAAGTTATAAAAGACAATATAGAGAACATAACTCATTTTCATTCATATCTTATTTTAGATACTTTATTTAGAAATAGGCACTGAAAATGAAGGTCTAGGAACAGTGAAGCCAGGGTTCCTTCACATTGGGGAAGTGGGGTATCTCGCACTTACAGGGAGTACCATGGTTGAATATGACTGGCTTATGTTTGGCTCAGAACACAGCAGGACCAGGCCTTACTTTCATTGATAAATACTGTTTGTTAATATTTCACTAACAGGACTTTTTTTACACTCTACAAGTGAGTCAGAGCAGAGCATCTTTTCATTACTCTGTTGTACAAATGTTGATTCTGGCTAGGTTATTTATGAGTTCTTTTATGCCTAATGCATTCGGAAAGACTTCTCCTTCGACTCTTTGACTCAGAGGTCACCATAGCACCTGCCTGTAGTTGGGAAGAACCTTGAATATTGTCAGATGTCCTTGTAGTACTCACAAAGGGCTCACCTTGAATGTCACTTGCCTGATCTTCAATCCCCTGACTACAGCCACTCAGAGTTCTCCTGGCCTCAATCAAACTGCTCCCTGCCACTAAGGAGATTCGCATGCTGCTACCACCTCACAGGGAGAGGCTGTGCCCGCCCACCTTGGAATCCTGACAGCTGCAGCTCCCTGGCCGCTTCCCTGCAGGGCTCCTGTCCACGTGAGACAACAGGACACAAAAAGCAGAGCACCCAAAGCTGGGTTTGCCTCCCCTATTCACCTGATGTCCAGGGCCCACAGAAACCCACCTGAACCCACCACTGAGGCCAGATGGTCTGGCTCCTGCTCTCCTTCAAGCTGCTGCTCTCCCTTGAAGCCATGGTGTGTTCCACAGGCTGAGGGCAAGGGCACGCCAGCAGTCCTCAGTAGACCACGTGCTCCCGGACCCAGTACCCATCACTTGCTCACCAATTCCCTGCATAGGTAATGCAGTGGACTTCTGTCATCTTTTTCTTTCCCTGCTGCCCTTTATTTATCAAGCATAATACACATCAAAGAACAGCAAATAAAAGCTTTGTAGATCCCACAGGATTTTGCTAACAATGATGTTTGGAAATGGAAAAAGAAATGCTCTGAAAAATATCAGCCACCAAAACAGTTTTGTCAGCACTATGTTTACACGCATGGTCCCCATACCCCAGGTTGGATCTTTGTTTTGGGGTTGGGTTTTTTTTCCCCCATTGTTTTTTGTTTTGGGGGTTTGTTTTTTTTTTGGGGGGGGGTGTTTTTTCTGTTACATCCATATCTGTATTTATATCTTATTTGTTTCACTTTCAAGTGTATCATGGCAAATGTACAGATTTTTTTGTTAATAATGTGCTAGGATTTGCTAAAAAAAAAAATCCACCCTTTTGAGTTTGCCCTAGGATAAATAAAACTTAATTCAGTTTCCTGCTTTGGCACAGTCTTTTTCATTACTACGCTCTGTAGATAGCTTATCCCATCTACCTGACATCAGAACGTGGCCACATCTATAAAGAATCCAAGGGGGCTCTTTCTCATAATGGAAATAGGTCCAACCCTAAGGAACTGTACCACCCAACTGGGGTCCTGGGTGCTGCTATGTGCAATGTGGGGTAGAACATTTGGGCATGAAGACATGGTGAGCTGCATGAGGAGGGGGGGCCCCCATGTCTGGTCCCTTTCCTCACCTGAGCAGAGAGGACATTAGCTTCCAAAATGTCAGACCAGCCTGTGTTGAGAGCAGGTGGGTCTTCAACTGGACCTTGGGAAAGGGCTTGGAAGGGGCTGCCTGACAGCTGGCAGGGCCGTGGTCCTCAGAGGAACACCTGCACCCCACCAGGGGCACCAATCATTTCTTTGAAGACTTGTATTAAATATTTCGAATTTTACATCACGTTCCATGATACATTTCAAGTATCACATTTTCCATGACTATGAGCCTCCTTTCCCCTATGGCCCATTGCTTCTTACCCATTTAACATGTGACCTCAGAGTGATACATATCACAAATACCTGGTTCAAATACCAGTTCACCCCCTCTCCCATGGGCAAGCCATGTCACTTTCTGCCTCAGCCTTTTCATTTATCAATTGGACTAAGGACTGCCTCCTGGAGGTACAGTGAGGGTTAACAAAGATGATGTGAGTGAAGCAGCTGGCAGAGTAGATGCTGCTGACCGCCTGTCCTGTCTCCGGAAGCTGAGGTCACACCCCAGGCCTGTGTGTACAGTGAGTCCATTAATTATTAGCAAAGGTGGAAAACCCCCAGGGGATGGACTGACCACATTCAGGCAAAGCAGGCAGTGCCACTTTCCATATTTGGATCTCTAACCCCTTGTCCTACTGCCCTCTCTCATCCCAGGGCTGCCAGGAAGTCCTTGCCATCTTTAAGAGGGTCACAGGCCATGGTTATGAGGTGGGGGCATAGGGGCCCACTTCAGCCAGTGGGTCTTTGGAAGATCTGAATGATCTCCAGAAAACTGAGCATTTCCGCTCACATAGTTTTGCACTTAATTGTGTTATGTGCTGTTGAATCAGCTCTGACTCGTGACAACTCTTGACCGAGTTGTGTCCACAATGTCCCATCCTCAACAGCCTGCTCAGCTCCTGCAGACTCAACCTAAGGCTTCTTTTGTGAAATCAGCCCACCTCATATTTGGTCTTCCTCTTTTTCCTACTGCCTTCTATCTTTCCCTCAGCATCATTGTCTTCTAAAGAGCCCTACTTTCTCAAGACATGCCTGAAGTAGGACAGTTTCAGCTTTGTCACTTTTGCTTCTTGTGATGTTTTGGGCTTAATTGGCTCCTGGACTCACTTGTACATCTTTCTGGTGGTCCAGAGTATGCATAAAGCCCTTTTTCAATGCCATCGTTCAAATAAATCAGTTTTTCCTATCAGCCTTCTCCACTGTGCCACTTTCTCACCTGTACATAGTAATTGGGAACCTGAGGGTGTGTCTGGTCTTAGCCTTGGTCTCTAATGACACATCTTTGCTTAGTGATCTTTCCTAAGTCCTATTGCTGCCTGTGTACGTCTCAGCCTTCTCTTGGTTTCTTGGCTCCTGTCTATTCAAATTGATGACTAAACCAAGATGAACAATTTAACAGTTTCAGTTGTTCTTAATTGTCTGTTTAATTGGTATATTTTTCCTGTGGTCATAATTTTTGTGTTCTTGATACTTAAATGCAGTCCTGCTTTGGTGCTTTTACTTTCATCAGAAGTCATTTCAAATCCTATTTTCTGCCAGTAAGGTTGTGTCATCTGCATATTTTTTAAAAGATTTTGTTTATTTCTTTTTAGACAGGGGAAGAGAGGGAGAGAAGCATCAATGTGTGGTTACCTCTTGCACACCCCTTACTAGGGGCCTGGCCCACAACCCAGGCACGTGCCCTGACTGGGAATCTAACCAGCAACTCTTTGTTTTGCAGGCCGGCGTTCAATCCTCTGAGCCACACCAGCCAGAGCTGCATATTTTAAGTTACTGATACTTCCACCTATTTTCACTCAAATCATAGAAGGTTGCAGAACCCCCTGAAGGTGTTCTTGACATTCTTGTATCATTAATGGAGAGAAGGGGGTGGTTGACAGGCAGCATTAATGTCGAGGCAGGTGGTTGACAGGCAGCTTTAATATCATTGGGGAGGCACTTAGACTTTTAAAGAATTCTTATCCTGTAGCATCTTACTGATTTTCACATCAGTTGTGTAAAGATCTGATAGGGGTACAGATAAAGGATGTGCTGCCATGTTCAGTTTCCAGGTGAGGAAACTGAGGCACAAGGAAATACCCCAGCTAGATAGTGAAGAATGGGGTCGAGGCTCCTGTGGCTGTTCAGCTGTCTTCCCTGCCTCCTTGAGCCTCCCACCCTTCAGATGACAGCTCCTGAAATGACAGTGAGCATGTTGGGATCCTCTGGGGACTTGTGAAGCAGAAGTTGGGCCCCACCTCAGCAATGCTGATTCTCCAGGGCTAAGGTAGGGCCTGGAAATGAGCATTTCTAATAAGTTTCAGGCAATGCTGATGCTGCTGGTCTGTGACCACGGTTGGAGAACCATTGCAGGGCATTTTTATTAAAACATGATGGGGCAAGTGGTCCCAAGCTTTGGGACCATCCTTGAGACAAGCTGCTGTAGAAAACAGCCCTGGGCTTTGGGAGTATCAGCAAGATCATCACTGGTGACTAATGCAGCATCTAGACTGATTTTGACAGGGAAATGGAGTGGCATTCGAAGAGGGAAGGTAGGAATGTCTCAGGCAAAAAGGACATATACCTCCCCTGGGTATAAAGCTCCCGCTCAGGAGAAAGCTCTTCCCCCAAGAGTATTAGCCCAGTTCCACGTGGCTTTCCATTTCTTCCAGTATTTATTAACTCATACTTCAGTGGCTCCAGGCAAGAACGGACAAAGGTCATGTGAATGAGCATCTAATCTTAGATTATATATTTAAAAAACATTAAAATACTTGCACACCAGTGCCCTCCTCAGACCCGGGGCCTGCTGCCAGTACTGAAGCCTGGAAGGTGGACTCCACTGGGCTGTGGGCCACTCTGGTGGACCCAGCATTCCAGGTGAATTCCTGAAACTCTGAGATGACCCTGCCCCCCTCGGTTCCCTGCCAGGGAGACGCATGTGGGACAGACAGGGCCACAGTCCCAGACACAGCGCATAGGAAACATTTATGGTGCACCCACGCGCTGCTCACTAGGCCTGGCAAAGGGAAAGGGGCCTGCTCAACTATAGGAAGTCTGGGTCTTGAATCCAACTCTGAGTGTTTCAGGATCTATGACTTTAGCCAAATGACTGCAGTTTATGGTGACCTCAGTTTCTTCCTCTGTGAAATCCAAAGAGAGGACACGTGGATAAAAAACTAGGGGCTGGTGGAAATGGGAGGGAGGAGGGGAGGGCTGGGTGAGTGGGCTGGGATGGGAGTAAAAGATAGAAAATTGTACTTCAACAACAATTTAAAACAAATCTAAAAAAAAAAAATCCAAAGAGTGGAGAATTGGGATGGGTGGTGGGAGAGTAGGAGGATTAGCATACTTTCTAAGTGCCTGACAGTTCTTGGACTCCTAAACAGACATCAGCTATTACAATTCTTACTATTAAAATCACCATTATTGAGGCACCTACCCCAATTTCTGACAAACAGATGAAAGAGTTAATATCTCTGCCCCTTTTTAAAGAAGATTTTTATTATTTTTTTATTTTGCCTTTGTACCTCAAAAGAAGCATCGTTGTATGAAAATCTTTCCTCCACAAAAGGATGTTACAGACTTTTTTTTCTGTTTGAGATTATTTTTTTTTTCAAGTACAGTTTTCTGTCTTTGTCCCTCATCTCTCCTCTACAACCCAGCTACCCCCACCTGCCTCCCCGATTCCAACCCCCTCCCCCCATTTATTTTCTTTTTAGAGAAGGAACGAGAAGGAGAAAGAAAGGGAAACATCAATCAATGTGTGTTTGTCTCTCACACACCCCCTACTGGGGACCTAGCCCACAAGACAGCCATGTGCCCTGACCCTTTGGTTTGCAGGCCAGCACTCAGTCCACTGAGTCACATCAGCCAAGGATATGTCTCTGCCCCTTAAAACCCACTGTCCAAAGCCCCAGCTGGCGTAGCTCAGTGGATTGAGTGCGGGCTGTGAACCAAAGTGTCGCAGGTTCGATTCCCAGTCAGGATACATGCCTGGGTTGCAGGCTATGACCTCCAGCAACCCCACATTGATGTTTCTCTCTCTTTCTCCCTCCCTTCCCTCTCTAAAAATAAATAAAATAAAATATTTAAAAAAAAAACACTGTCTAGTGGGAAAGATCAACACACAAACCTTGAGCTTATGGGTGCTTTTCCATCTGTGTAAGAGATGATCAGACTTGAGTGAGTGGCGAGGAAAAAAGACTGAATGCCCTGTGCCTCCACCTGCTCCTCAGCCCTTGAGTGCAGGCCTCCTCTCTCTGGGCACCCTCTCTACCTCGTGCATCCCACTCTCCCCGCGCCCGGCAGCCACATTTTATCACCCTGAGCTCCAGATTCATACACCCAACTTGCCTTCTTGACTTCTCCACGTGGATGTCTTAGGGGCTGCTCTCATGGAGTGTTTCCATGATCGGACTTTTGAGCTGTCTCCCAAACCTGCTACTCTCCATTTAGAAAAATGGTAACCCACCCAGATGCTAATGCTAGGCCCTTTCTCATCCTCCACTCCCCGCTCAGCCCACCCCCAAGTTCCACGAATCCCACCTCCAAAGTGGTTCTGGAAGCCCTCCACCTCTTTCCTTACCCAGCTACCACCTGGCCCAGGCCTCTCTCTTGTCTCGCCTGCACAGCCGCAGTGGGGCTGCTCTGACCCTATTCTGCTCACCTCTCCTACCTTCTAGTCCCCTCCTGAAGGCCCACAGCTGGTTGTTTTACAAAAGGTTCATCTGATCTGTCAT